GACGGTTGTTCACAGTAAGGAACACCACTATCAAAAATGAGATAGATTTTTTTTTTATTCTGGTGATTATAAAATATATTTGTCTATATGTATCTTGTTCATAGTAAGGAACATCTTTTATTCTGGTGATTATAAAATGTTTTTGTCTATATGCATCTTGCTATATCTAATTGCTAAGTATGATAACGTATTTAATTCCACCTTTTTTTACCTCGATAACCTATGCGATTTTTTTTTACTATAAGTGTATCTATTTTCTTTGAAATAATTCAGTAATGACAAGCGTAAAAATAACTAATAAACAGACAAAAAATTCATAATATTTGCAATGAATAAAAGCGAATAAGTGGTGCTTAGCTCGGCAGTTGCCGACTAGGATTTTCATTCAGTCAGACAAGGGTGAGACTGCCCCCACCCCCACCCAAAAAAAAATCAATACTGAATAAAAACATGCGTAAGTCTTGCAGTGGAAAGAATAACTGAATAATAATGATAAATAGTACACACACACACACACACACACACACACATATATATATATATATATATGTATATATATACATTATATATGTATGTGTTAAATGAAGGCAATAAACACATAACCATACATAACAGAAGAAAATAATGAATTTAAATTCTAAGTCAGAACAATATTCTAAATTGAACTGAATAAACAACACAGGTAACAGGTTTGGCAACTCGTGGTTACCCCGCCGTTACACGCCATGCAAGATACCCTATGAATGCTATGAATCTTAGGGGTATCTCCCTTGATATGTTTCTTTTTGTGAGTATTTTTGAGAGGGAACCTCGTGGTTGTTGTGTCGATAGCCCCTTTATGTAAATACCTTTTATGTTGAATATATTCTATACATAAAACAGATACACACAAAGATCATATGAGAACCAGGGCGAAGGTATCAATCAGCTTAGGGTAAAGTGAGCATCATGCAAAATGGTGCGAAATATTTCTGCCGATTATAGAAATATGTTCGTTTTCATATATATGTATCGTGTCATTTTCTTCTTCATCCTACAGATTGCACTGTAAAGAAAGACAATAAAGGAGTTGAGATCAAAACCTTCAGGGACTCTCTCCATATGACCATCGCAAGGAAAAATGAAGACGACGAAGTTGTCATAGAAATTAATGACAAAAAAAAGACTCTGAACATACCGAAGAACAAGTGGACTGAATGTCGAGTTTCAAGCAATGAAGAGGTTGAATGTCGTGAAGAGATGTCCAACACTGCAGAGAAGAATTCTGGCGGACTGTTGAAAAAGTTTACGATTAAGAATGCCGAAGTTCTTGCTAACTGTCCTCAAGGTAGGGCTCTTTGTTTTAACTTCTTGTACAGTATGATTGTCCATATATCTGATAATACGTGCATGCATACATCCATACACACCCGTACAAACACACACACAAATATGTGTGTACATATATATACATACATATATATGTATGTGTGTGTGTGCGTATTTGTGTGCGCGTATGCGTGCGTGCGTGTGTGTGTGTGTGTGAAGTGCGTGTGTGTGTGTGGGTGTGCGTGCGTGCGTGCGTGTGTGTGTGTATACACATATAGTTCATATGTATATAAACTATATGTATATATATGCATATGTATATATATAAGAATATATATTTTATATATGTATATATATGCATATATACATATATACATGTATACATATATTCACACACATAGACATATATATATCTATATACATACACACACGTGTATATATATATATACATATATGTATATTCACACATATATATACATACATATACAATTTATATATATATACATATATATACACACGCACACATACACACACATATATATAGTATGCATATTCATATATATATACATATATATACATATATGTGTATGTGTGTTTGAGTGTGTGTGTGTGTGTGTGTGCATGTATACACACACACACACACACACACACACACACACATATATATATATATATATATATATATGTATAAGTATATGTAAATATATATGTATGTGTGTATATATAAATCTGTATATACATATGTATGTGTGTGTATATAAATCTGTATGTGTGTGTGTGCACATATATATACATATATACATGCATTTATGTGTATATATATGTATATGTCAACAATACGTAGCAAGGCCGGATGCTACACTTCACACCTTCCAAGCAGAGAAGTGCAGGACGGAGACGTCGCCCGACTTTCTCCTTTCGCACGGGAGTAAACATCCACCCTCGAAGGGAACAGCCGTATAAAAGGGCACTTGCGTAAGACGAAGAGGGAGAGCCACGGCAGACAGGCCAACCCACACAGGGTCCAGCCCCACCACCTCGTCCTCCACCCGGGGGCACGGGGATCTCTTGGGGTCTCATATCTATCTCAAACAATAAACCAGCAAGCTAAGAGCCCTTTCATTGACCCGTCCCAAGGCTAGCTCTCTTACACTTACAATATGTATATATATATATGCATATATATATTATATTATATATATGTACATATATACACACACGCGGATATATATATATATATATATATATATGTAACTGACCTGGCCTTGAACCTAGGTCACTCCAGGTATGAGACCGGAGAGCCAGTACTAAACCAACCATGCCACGCGACCCACTAAAAGGAGTGTGCAACTAGGATCTAACTTGCACCAATTTCCACCGAGTGCCCACGGGGAGTGTGTGTAAAACCTCGCTATCATTACTCATGTATGAATAGATAGGTAATGTCTATGGAGCTAGTTACATCCTAGTATTTACGTATATATATGGATATATATGTATATATATATATTTATATATGCGTATATATATGAATATATATATATATATATATATGTGTGTGTGTGTGTGTGTGTGTGTGTGTGTGTATAAATACGTATATATATGTACATAAATTTACACACATATGTATATATATATACATGTATATATGTATATATGTATATATATTCCCCGTCACGATGATTGTAAAAAAAAGCCTGCGCTCCGACTATGGCTCGAGCCTGATCTCACGGCGAGAAAACGACATATCGCCCTCAGAAATCAAACGCAGGTGTCGTAGGGGAAATCGCCGCCGTGGCAAAAGTGTTAGCGCGCCGAACCGCGGTCAATTAGGAAGGGCATCCAATCAGGCAAGGGTGGTGCTGCCAAATGACATTTCAATAATTGGGAGAGGCCTAGATCCTACAGTGGCTTATATGGCTGTTGAACAAAACAAAACAAAATATAGACATATATATGTATACACACATATTCATTATATATACACATATATGTATATATATGTATGTGTATGCATATATATATATGTGTGTGTGTGTAAATATACGTGTGTGTATATTTATATATGTACATGTATGTATGTATATGTACATGTACATATGTATATATACATATATATCTTGCGTATACATATGCGTAAATATCTATGTATGGATATGTATATATATGAATATATGCGTGTGTGTATATATGTTTGTGCGTGTATACATATATACATATATATGTATATATATATGAATATATATGCATATATGTGTATATATATGTATATATACGTACATATATATGCATAAATATGTATATATATCTATACACATATATATGTGTATATATATATATATGCATATATACATACACATATACGTATATACATACATATATATACACATAAATATATATTATATATACATATATATACACATAAATATATATTATATATACATATATATTTATGTGTATATATGTATATATATATACATATCATTTATATATTTATATATGTATATATACATATATATGTGTGTATATATATACATGTGTGTGTATATATATATATGGATATGTATATGCATGTATATGTGTATATATATATATACATGTGTGTGTATATATATATATGGATATGTATATGTATGTATATGTGTATATATATATATACATATATATGTACATATATGAATGTGTATGCATATATATATGTGTACATATATGTATATACACATACATATATATGCATAAATATTTATATGTATATGTATACACACATATATATGCATGTATATGTATAAATATTTATATACACATATATACGTGTGTATATATACATATATGTATAAATATACATAGACACATATCTACATATACATATATGTGTATATATATATATATCATATGTATATACGTTTATATATACATATATGTATATGTGTATATATACATATAGTATGTATGTATGTATATATACATATATGTATGTATGTAAGTTGTAAACAATACATAGCAAGACCGGATGGTACACTTCACAGTCTATCCCCAGCAGCTGCCTTTCATCCTTGGGCAGATGCAGGTGCCCGCTCTGCTTACTCTTTTGACACTTCTTCGACGTCAGAAAGCATCTGCAATCAATGGGAGCCGCCGCATAAAAGGGCATGTCCTCAGAGAGAGAATAAGTGAGATATATTACAGACAGACCAATCCACACAAGGCCCAGCTGCGCTATCTCGCCCTCGACCCGGAGGACACAGGGGGTCCCTTGGGGTCTTATATCTACCTTCAGCCCTAAGGCCACTCTCATTGATATCTGGTGGCAAGTGGTGCTCAAGAAACTCACAACACCAATCCATCTACTACCCTGCGAGGCCATGCTCCTCGCCGACGCCTGTTGCAAATCCACGCTATCTGCCGACAAGGTACTCCTGTCACAGTGCCTCCTCGCCTCTCTTAATGCGCAGCCATCGCTACCAAGGCACGCCTGACAAAGTTGCTGACAATATGTTCCCACACTCTATGCCACCTTCGCCAGTCCGGCACAACTATGGAACTAATGTTCTACTCAGTACCATTGATACTTACTATTAAAAGTAAGTGCCTATTAGTGCCAGATTAATTAATGTACTCCTATACCTGCCCAAACCTTACATATGAGTTGCCTTCATTCAAATGCATATTACAGACCACTCAGGGAACACATAGTACTTAATCTATATTACAATACTTCTCGCTGTCTGTCATTGTTTTATAACACACACACACACACACACAAAAATGAAGTCACACACTTAGATCAGACCTAAGTGACACACCCTCACCTCACACCTCACCTCTGTTCTAATAATTGTCTTATTAGTGTTATATATATATATATATATATATATATATATATATATATGTGTGTGTGTGTGTGTGTGTGTGTGTCTATTATAAGTTTTGTCTTCACATTGCTCAGTTTATTTGAACTTATTTTTTCACAAAAAAAATAATATGATCAAGTCTATTCAATTATTGTTATGTTCTGTTGTTTTCATGTACATTATTCAGTTTTGTTTTTTTTTATAAGATTATTTATTCTTCCTCTTTATATGGTATACCTGACTCTAATTCGTTAATGTCGTCCTCTCAAAGTTCGATATCCCGTCCTCAGTTATGCTGGAAATTATACTTTAGTTTTAAGGTATTGGTGAATATGTAACATGTAACTAATCGATGGTAGTCTCTCCAGTTGCAAATAATGGCAATGTATTGTCAACATCATGCTTTATATAGGCTTACATAGTTACTGTCACCGCAAAATAATTTTATGAAAGAAATTACGTACACTTACACTCACAGGACTGATGTATCCAAGTGCACAAGGTTAGAATTCAGTTCAGGCCCTGTTTTCGAAACATGCTTGTCCATTTATCCTAAAGATATGGAATTCTTGTCTAGATAATTTTTCTCTACAATATGATGGTACTCTACTCCTAATCCTGACAAATCCAAATTAATTAACACCTCCTCACTTGACACGTTACCCTTCTTGTGACAAATTATACTTATTATGCTCTCATTGTTCTTGTAACTTAGTAAGGTGATTGAAAAACATATCCTCCTCCTTAGCCCCTTTACTGGCCTGGTACACTTATATTTTAGCTCTGAAGACAATGTGACACTCTTTGCTACTGAATGTTGCACCTCAGTGCAAAACCTCTGCCACACCCATTACTCTGGCACGTGATGATCCAGCAACCATCGGGATCAACAGGAACCATCAGTATGTTGCCGAGCAGAACCTGTATCCCTTTGTGCTTACTGCAGCGTTACATGTGTTGGAGACAGCTCGAGGACGTGTGCATGGCCGAGCGATGTAAACAGAGAATCTCATCGATATCTGGAGGCAAAAGGTGATCAAGAAATCCTCTCATTGATAATTAAAATCTGAGATGGAGGAGATTCTCATAAAAGAGGCAATATGTCTAAAGCTCAAGACTTATTCCCTGCTCGTAAATAATGATCAAACATGTATGGTTGCAAAGGGAATCTGTGGGTCTGAGAAGAGAAAGCTGAAACACGACAATGTATGCTGCTTTCATATGAGATAGATGCACTTCTTTAAGCAGATGAGCATTACCAATGTAAAAGGTTAGATGAAAGCCACACAAACCAGAAAGCATGGGCTATCACATAAATCACTAGCATATCGTCACCCGGGCGTTGAACACTGGCCAGAAACAGAGGAGATTGAAGAGGAGGAGGAGGGAGTTGTGGGAGAATTCAGGCATGGCATGTCAACCAATGAGTGAGAGGAGACAGGGGAAGAGCCTGAGGTGATAGCATCACCACCGCCACCAGCACAAGGAAGGAAAGATTTAATCCTCTGTAGAGAAAATGAGAGTATCTCCTCCAACTTCACTTTCTGCCTATTGTGTGCTGGAATAGCAAAGCACCAAGAAGCAATGCCATGCGACAGTAACAACTTGAAGAGCTTGAAAGCGCAGAAAACACAAACTGGAAACCACTTCATCAGGATGATAGTGACGACGAAGATATTTAGTTGTAAATCTTGTATGTGCATATTTTCTGAATGTGGTAGTCAGTGAAATAGTCTGTATCTAAAATCTAAATGTCATTTTTATTTGTTCCCTTCACCATGTAACACACCATACTCCTGCTTTAAGGAGAATTTGCTCACCCAGCATGACTGATAACTGGAGGCGTCACCAATTCAGGAAAGACATATCTCACCACAAAACATTGTGCATTAACACAAACAGTTTGATTATATAATTGTATGTGGGAGTGAATCTCATCCACTAGAAAAGGAAACCTCTTTATCTGACAACTTGTTCTTAATAAAGACAATATACTTTATATAAGCGGCTAATTGTGTCATTCTGAGCAATATCTTTAGAAAAGGGCGACACGAAAATATAACTGTTGTACATGTTCAAAATGTATTTATAAATGGGAAGTAGAGATGCAACATTTTGTTAAACACTTATCATTTTATTTAGCTGAAACAGAGAGACCTCAGACAAATTGAATGCTCAGGCAGGCAATAGAGCAAAAGCGAAGCCAAGGACTTTTAAATGTATAAAAAGGTTCTCTCAAAATTCTATAGACCTACAGCCTAGGCGGCATACAAGCACTGTTGGATGTCGCTCGAGTGCAGTTGGGCAAGGGTAATATAACCGTCAGATGTGAACATGGTTTTGTCATCGTAACAGGCTTATACTTTCCACAAAAATGCTCGCAAAAAAATCCTGTTTCATCAAACAATGGCCATTAGACCTTGCACTGGGATGAATTAGGCCAGATAAAATCTATGACTGGGTTGAATATATTCGATGTTATCAAGTATTTCGCGTACTCGTCCTCACCTTTGTTTTCTGTAAAAGAAAAGGAACTTTTGAAAATATTACATAATTTTGCCCCGATGCCATATTATTACATACCCAGTTTTGCAGCTAAGCAGTCTCTTCGGTGTTCAAAAGACAGGTAGAAATATTAAAGGGAAACCTATACCCGCCCTTATGCCCATTCTGAGAAAGATGCATATGCTTGTATATAATATTTTATGTATATATATTTATTTATTTATTTATATATATATGCTTACATATGGAAAATGGAGTAATCCAATGCCGCATTCATATCGATGAATAACAACCCTCCTGACCAGGACTGAAACCTTTGTCTATCCAGGAATGAACCAGAAGACCAAACTAAACTCACAAAACCACAAGACCCACTAAAAGGAGTGTAAAACTAGGATCTCACTAGCTCCATAGATATTACCATATCTACTCATACTATTGTACTGAAAGTGAAGTTTTACACACTCCACGTGGACACTCGGTGGAAATTGATTTAGCAATTCAAATCCTAAGTCAGATGTACTGAGGTGAGATGGAGTAGTGCAATCCCGCATTGATAACAAATGCAAGAGGAGCGGAATGTTGACCAAAGGTGTTCAAATCCTACAAGACAACGCCTGTGTTTACAACACTCACATTGCCCAGATGGATGTGTGGTCCTGTGGCTTTGACATCATTCCTCATCCTCCTTATTCTCCTGATCTTTCACCTCTTTATGTCCATGAAGTCCTTTTTCAAGGACAAACGTTTCCAAGATGATGAGACTCTGATTTCTGAAGTCACTTGATGGGACCTCTGTAGATAAAGACTAATAACTGTATGACATTTGATTTCTGTATGTCTATGGGAATGGATCAAGGGAAACCTTTAATGAATGCCCCTCATATATGTAAATATAAATAATATAAAGACGTCAATTGATGATGGCGGTCGGGCAGTTCCCACACCCCCAAGGCTTGGTATTCCCCACTCAAGGTCTGTCTCCCTCTCCCGCCAGTTTTTTTGGTTTTTTTTACTGTATTATGCTTATATTACACCTATATACTTATATTATGCTTATATTATACCTATATAGGTTATATCTTAAAACTGCCCACAGAATAGCTTATTTTTCTAAAGAAAAATTTGTCTCTTTCGCAAACCCACCATGAAAAAGTTGAAATGATGCCCCTGTGTATGTATATATATTTATATATGTATATATACATACATACATACACATACATATACATAAACATATATATATAAAACACGCACACACACATATGCAAATGTGTGTATATATACATGTATGTATGTGTGTGACCGTGTGGGAGTTTATGGATAAATATTTATATTTACGTTAAACTATCCGCTCGTATCATATATATACATATATATCTATATATTTGAATCTATATGTGCTTGTAAATATAGATATCCATATTTGTATTTATTTATCTCTAGCATACTTCCTTTATAATGATTCTTAGGATTGCCAAATAAAGAGCTCACCTCAGACACCTCGATCGACTTCCCTCGCTGGAATTCCACCAGGGAACATTTTGCCGTTATTCCAGAAGAGAACCTGACTGTTAGTTTGACCATATTTGGAGAAAACCTTAATCTTTGTTGGGATGGAAAACAGACAGCGGTCAAGACGAACAAGGAAGACTGTCAAGCCTTGTCAGCTCACGAGGAGCACAAGATCACACTGGATTACGAGTCGCAGCAGATCAAGGTACAAACATGTATTTTTGGCCTCTGTGGGTCCAGTGTGAATATTCAAGGATCTTGGATTTAACTGAGTTGAATAAGAGGGAAATATCTAAATTCCCATCTCCAACAGAGAGCTGATGGCCGCATTCTCAGAACAGTAAATAGTACCAATGCAAATAAAGATGGCTTGATGAAGATGAAATCTGACGGAGGCAAGGCCTGGGTTGTGCAGATTCTGGGAGACTGGACTCATCTTCAGGGCAGCCAAAATGAGTGTGAGGACATTTTCCAGTTTAGTTCTAGGGCGTCCAGTCTCAGGAAAGTTAAATGTGTCAGTTCACCCAACACTCTGGAGTACTCTGATTCGTTAAAGTTCTTTGGTGAAAGAAGAATTCAATAGCGTTTACATCGATTTTGTAATTCTGAAACTTATACCGACGTTTATTTCCTTTTTTGTTTAGTAATCACATTTGCTGCCTTCAACACCACTTCCTATTTTCCCAAAAGAGACTTAGCGAATCGGAGTGACACAGAGTCCGGAGAGAGACAATTATCTTCATTCCCGAGATTAGACGAAGGATACTTAGAATAACACATGGAGTTTACATATGTTGTATAGTGCATATTTCTCTCCTGAAGATATTTCATGCTTATTTGATATTTCTACAGGTAAAAGCAACTGTGGTGGAAACAACGCAATCCTGTATGTTTTTCTGACTTTCTTCATTATTACAACCATTGCTTTATTCTGTTACCTTCTGCGTATAAGGGTAATGTATCCCGTTTGTATTTACAGTTTCAATCACCACTTATTTTCTTTAATTGCTCATAATTTATACAAAGATATGCCCATTATTAACATGAATATGAGTTTAAAAATCACCAAGCTCTATTGGAAGAAAAAAATATATATATCACGTTTACCTTTTTTCACATAATAGAGAAACTCGTCCAGAAGTCGAGCTTATCCTGCCTCTCAAGTGCTTGAACTGAATACAGGTAAATAAAACAGCCTTTTTACTTTTCTTTGAGTCTATGAGGCAACAGCTTATCACTATAAACTGAACATCTTTAAAATGCAAATGAGGATTTTTGCTTCACGTTCTTTTGTTTACTAAGTGGATATATAACTACGCAGGTACATCCTCAGAAAAGTAAATGACTATGTGCGAGAATTAGTCATTCTATTTATTGCTTGCTATCATTATTGTTATTGTTATTATAATTATTTTTATTATTATCATTATTATCATAATTATCATTAATGTTATTGTCGTTATTACTATCATTAATATTGCTATTATTATCACTGTTATCATTGCTATTATTACTTTATTATCTTTATTATTATTATTGTTATTATTATCATTGTTATCATCATTATCACCATCATCGCCATCATTACTATTATCATGATTATTATCATTAATGTCAGTGTTATTATTATCATCTTGATTTTTATTATTATCATTATCATTATATTATCCTTATCATTATTGTTATCACTATTATTTCTGTTATTATTATTATCATTATTATTATTATTATTAATATTATCATTATTACTATCATTGTCATTATAACTTTTATTGGTAGTAGTATTACTAGTACTATATTATTATCGTTATTACTATTGTTATAATTATTGTTATTATTACTATTATCATCATCATCATCGTCATCATCATCATTAGTATCAGTGTTTTTTATTATCATAATCATTATCATTATTATAATCATTATCATTATTATAATCATTATCATTATTATTATCATCATTATTGTTATCTTAACTGTCATTATTATCATAAATATTATCATTACTATTATCATTATAATTATCATTACTATTATCATTATAATTATCATTATTATCATGATGATCATCACCGTTATTATCATTATTATTATTACTTCCATCCTATCTAATTCGTCCTACTTTTTTTCTAGCCAAGGAGACCATGACGGACGAAAATCCTGGTAGCATGGACTATGGAGAAGAAACAATTAATGATATCTATGATTATGATGGTCAGTGAGACTAGATGCTGTCTGACGATATACAAACAAAGGTATTAGATATTAGGAAGGAAGTCAGGTCTTCCAAAATAGCAGTATCCACTTGATGAATGGTGCCCTCATCCATAACAGACTGGGGTCGCCCTGTCGCAGGATCCGTTTCCATAGATCTCCGATCACACCAGACCGGCGATGCCAATGTTTAACAAAGTCATATGATGGGGCATCCTCTCCCTAAGTTGCCATCATTTCATCTTTCAAGTATAGAAATATGCTATGAATTAAGGACTGGACATTAAAACATAACCCATAGAGATATGTATCATTATGCATGTGAAACAGGATAAGCGGAAGGGGATCAAGGGAAATCTTTTGTAAGCGCCCCCCTGTATTTTATATACATATATATATGTGTGTGTGTGTGTATACATATTCATTTACATTTACATATACGCAATGGGTGCGCTCTTAACCCAATGGTGCCGGGGAAAATGAACAAAAAATGGGGAAAATATTGTGCCCACTTTGTTTTTCGTAAAATGTCTGCCGATAGATGGCTCAGCTAGTGCCTGATTTAAATGGCGGGAAAAACGTATTTTTCACTAGTGCTATGAAAATCGATGGTGTTATTTTTATGATAAACATTATAATTTTTATAATTTTTTTTAAACATTAGTAACAGCAAAATAAGATTACGTAAAATATTTTGTAAATCAAAGAAACGGGTAAACGGGCGAGACGGGCGGTGCTCGTACCTGGCTCATTGGGGAGTTAGTACAAGTGTTGCCATCTATGCGTAAAAACAATCAAACAAGTACTCACTGTGGGCATGGCACGTACGTACACGTCATACCCGGCACCAAGGGGTTAAAAGATTTTCCTACATATATGCATGTGGATACATATACATATCTTCATATACATATATATGTATTTATATGTATATTTTGTATATATATATATTTATATTTATATGTATATATGTATACATGTACGTATTTATAGAGATGTATATGTATATATGTATATGTATTGTGTATACATACATATATATATATATAGATATATATGTATATATAAACACATATCGTATTATTTATTTCTACTTTTTAGTTGATT